GCACTTATTGTTGTGTTATATCTCCCGTGTTTAGTTGACAGCGTGTTGTCTGTCTGAATAAGGGACAGTCAGATGAATATGGTCAGGGCTTTCACTGCCCTCTTCTGGTGCTTCAGATTCATAGGCGATCATCACACCTGATAAAAGGGACAGTTCACACACAAAAATGAACATTTCCTCATTATTTACTCACACTGTACAAAGTGATTAGTTACTTAAAGTGAGTAAACCAATTGCCTTAAAAGCAACAAGTTGACTTCACAAAAATAATGCAAGTAAACTCACTGTAACTTGACACTGTGAAGTCAGCTTGTAACTGAAAGGAAGCAAAAAAAAGTGCTTCCTTTATTTTTTATTCTTTTTAAAAGTGAGTACAATTTGCATAATTATAAATATTCTGTCAACCTGACACTTCCAAGTTACAATGGGTTTACTTATATTATTTTTGTAAAGTCAACCTGTTGCTTTTAAGGCAACTGTTTTACTTGCTTTAAGTAACTAATCACTGTTTACAGTGCGAGTGGTTGTAAATTTGGCTGTAAAGTGGAGTTACTGTCTTATGTTGAAAAAACAAGATATGCAGAACAATGTTGGATAAAAACAACCACTGACATATTGCAAAAACAAACTCTAAATCATTCCCCATGCAGTATATTTGTGTTCAACAGAAGACGGAAACTCAAGCAGGTTTGGAACAACACTGAAAATATGATGTCTGCAAAACTGTTGCGAATGCTGTGTTGAATTTAAATAAATAAATGTAGTTGTGTTCAATTTCAGTTGTTTGTTTAAATCCAGCCCAAATAAATTGTTTACACATAACATACAAAATAGTAAATCCAAAGAATCATCTTTGAATCTTTTTATTTCAGTGAAATCCAAGACAAGTAAATGAATTGCCTGAACGTACAAAGAAACCGATTGCACTCATGTGATCGGCCACGAGAGGGCGCTGCAATCTAACTATCTATGTACTCAGATATATTATATGAAAGCGTTTCATTCAGCTAAACACTTTAGATCCAGTAGCAAAACAACTGTTTTTGTGATATTGTTAACTAATTTTTTATTTTATTTTATGAGCTACGTTCTGTTAAAATGATGTTTATGCAGGTAATGTTTCTCCACATAGTTTAGCCACAGAATATTGTAAGTAAATATATCTACAAGTATGACATAGATAAATTAAATAACTATATTTAAACTGCATACAGGTTATGTTGCACACATGTATATGACATGTGTTATATATGTGATAATGTACAATCCGAATATTAAATTGTGTCATATATGTCATTTATATATACTTGCATGGATCAGATTTTTAGATGAGTGTAGTATTTCTGGCAGAAGTCACAATACTCTAATACTTATTTTTCAATAAACCTTTTAAAATAGGTATAATGTCAAATGTATACATCTATAGTGAATACTAGTGTTTTTGAACCCTAGCCTATAGTCAAGTGCGCTATACTGTATAGTATTTACAACACTTAATGAACACTACAGTGAACTGATAAACTGTAATACACTGCAGTATACTTTAGTTTTTATTACAGTTCACTGTGGAGTGTTGTAGTATAATATACACAAACTACAGTATTGGGTCATTTGTTTATATTACTGTAGTTGTTGTGTTTCTATAACAACTGTAAAATCACCACAACATATATTAGGTATGATAGATGTTGTGTTACTATAGCAACTGTAGAATCATCACAACAGATTAATTACTGTAGTTGTTGTGTTACCATAGCAACTGTAGAATCACCACAACAGATTAATTACGGTAGTTGTTGTGTTACCATAGTAACTGTAGAATCACTACAACAGATTAATTACTGTAGTTGTTCTGTTACCATGGTAACTGTAGAATCACCACAACAGATTAATTACTGTAGTTGTTGTTACCATAGCAACTGTAGAATCGCCACAACAGATTAATCACTGTAGTTGTGTTACCATGGTAACTGTAGAATCACCACAACAGATTAATTACTGTAGTTGTTGTGTTACCATAGCAACTGTAGAATCACCACAACAGATTAATTACTGTAGTTGTTGTTACCATAGCAACTGTAGAATCACCACAACAGATTAATTACTGTAGTTGTGTTACCGTAGCAACTGTAGAATTGCCACAACAGATGAATTACTGTAGTTGTTGTGTTACCATAGCAACTGTAGAATCACCACAACAGATCAAATGAGTTCTAAGAACGTTTTCTATCAACATTATAAGAACGTTCATCAAGCACAAATAACGTCCTAAAGATGTTGCGAAATCAGAATGTTTTCTAACAACGTCACGAGACCATAACGACACTCAAAAAGCAGTACTTTGATAATGTTCTGTAATAACATTCACACAACTTTTAAGGAACGTTTTGAGATGTTCCCTGTTGTCTGTGGCAGCTCTGTCTGGTCCACATGGTTTTCATTTTTCCCGCATGACTAAACTAAACTCTGTGCTCCTGTGGATCCACTGGGACCTCAGAGCTGTTACTCGCTGTCTACATTTACACACCTTTACATGCTCGACCCAAATGTGCTTGGCAAAACTCTTTGAAGGCAAAATCTCATGTGGCAAAGATTGAATGAGTGTCGTGCCTCGTCACTGTCTCATCACTTTTACAGGTTACAACAGGTCTGCGCTTCAAGATACAGGCTTACTCATCTGGGCCTGGGCATTTTGATTTTTAGTGCAATTCAGAGTAACATTTGAATATATATATATATATATATATATATATATATATATATATATATATATATATATATATATACAGTTGATGGCAGAATTATTATTATATTAATTCTAATAATAATTAGAAAAAAATCTGGAGAAAGTCTTATTTGTTTTATTTGAGCTAGAATAAAAGAAGAAACAATATCAGACACACTGTGAAAATTTCTTTGCTCTGTTCAACATAGATTGGTAAATATTTAAAAAAAAGGAAAAAAATCAAAGGGGGCTAATAATTCTGACTTCAACTGTATACACACACACACACACACACACACACACACACACACACACACACTGTATATGCTTTATTATATATTCATATTTGGTCATATTTCCGTGTGGGCTTTGGATTAAGTCGACGTTTCTACTGTATGTATTAAAATAAAAATATTACAATTATATTATCAAATAGGATATATTAAGATAAAAAATACTCTGTTAAAATATTGACTATATTAAAATAATTAAACTGACATCAAACACTGAGCGCATGTCTAATCACGTGACTAAACTCGGGCGTTACATGTTGTTTAATAACAAAACATAATACATTTATCATATTTTCAGAAACACTGAGCGGTGGATTATTCACAGGCGTTCAGTCATTTATACAGAGTCTCTAATTTATTCACGCAGTTTGATTGAACGCTTTTCGCGTGTGCTGTGGCAGGTTTTGTTCATGATGAACGCGCTGAATGCACGATAATTAAAACCTATTAATTATGCTTTATATGGACTCTTAAAGCGAAAGAGATAGCGGACTATTCAGACATAACTGCTTAAGCGACGCCTCTTTAAAATTAATGAGCCTGCAGTAATTAAAAATTAATTAAGTGAAAGCGGATAAGGATTTCACACACCCGATATTGCGATTTTCTGTTGTGCTGAATGAGATCTAAATTAAATGAAAGGCCTTATTTTATACAGTGACGTAGTACTTATTGTTCTAGCCTATTCGTTATATTACTATATTATTGTTTACTATTCACACCAAACATAAATTAGGCTAAAATCTAAAGTGCTGGGTTATTTCAGACCAGTTTGCTGGGTTAATTCTTTTTATTATTAATTGAGTAAAAGAGTATACACTTCAATATTCTTTTAGAAGGCCTTCATATAAACTGATGTAAACACTTTAAAAATGCTTTAGTGAGTGTGTATGGGTTGCAGCTGGAAGGGTATCCGCTGCGTAAAACATATGCTGGATAAGTTGGCGGTTCATTCCGCTGTGGCGACCCCTGATTAATAAAGGGACTAAGCCGAAAAGATAATGAATGAATGTTTTCTCTGTTTCAAAACAATATACAGTAGCGAAAGAAGATCGCTCTTCCGTCAGATTGAGTGTTTTCTTGCACAGCTGGATGTTGGACTAATGGAAAATATTTGTTAGCATTGGCCGAAACTGATTAGCTGAAGTCACACCGAAGCGCAGCCAACAACTATGTATTGTAGAAACTAAAGGACAGCTTACTGTTGCAGTTCAGAACATTTTATTCCCTTATAAAGATGCCTTTAAATGAGTGGCTTTTTTAAATGAGTGTTGTATCACTTTATTACTTGAAATATTTTATATGCAATTGTTTTATGTGTAATGTTATTGGTTTTGGTTAATATTATTTTCATTACTTGATATATGACTTAATAGTATTAGTTACCACTGATTCTTTTAAGTTTAATATCTTATATAATAGTTTGTGTATTTATGTATTGTGGCTGTTTGCTTCTATAGATTGGTTGGATTTATGTGACTTATTTCACTTATTAAATTTATTTATTCTGTCTTGTGTTTTTGTGTTTCTGTGTTTGTGTGTTATGGCAGTCATTACGTAAGCAATTTCCTGCGGGATCAATAAAGTTTTCTAAGTCTAAGTCTTTAGTACTTCCAATAGCTTTTATTAACCAACGTCATGCTGCTGTTACAGAAAATGCTCAGAATGCTCATTTTTTTGTTTGTTTGTCTGTCTGTTTGTTTTCCCCAAAAGCGTCGCTTTAGACACCTGCAGGCCTGTGTTCGGTGTGATTTTATTAACTCTCGGCTCTAGACAGGGCTGGACTGATCTCTGTGCAGGTTGATGTATAGCCTGTCAGTGCGCACTGCGGGCGCGGAACGGAATTGGACGCGGACACACGTGGCACGGAGCTCCTTTGTCATGGATAGGCTCCCAACTCATCCGAGTGATCTGATGTGTTTCCGGCTGGAGGCCACTAAGAGTGGTTGTGCACGAGTAGACTTCCAGAAAGAAAGGGGGAAAAAAAAGAGAAAAGAAAGAGGTGTCAAGCTTTACGCATGAGAGCTCTGTATCGCGCTCTCTCCAAAGACGCGCGCGTAGTTATATTAACAGAATCTCCACAGCATGCCAACAAGTTGACTTACCAAAATAATGAGCTCGCGAGTAATTAGCGCGTTGTCATGGAAACCTAGATAACATTCTCACGTCTTAATAGTTATATTTGGAACAGAACAACGGGATAAATCCAGGAGGGGAGCTGTTATGGAGGATCAGCGGCGGGGTCAGGGTGAGGAGGAGGATGACAGCGGATCTCTGCCCTCTCCACCTTTGCTCCCTGCGCACAGAAACACTGATTTCTTCATCGATAACATCCTCAGACCGGACTTCGGTTGTAAAAGAGAGCGAGAGAGAGTAACGCGGGATTCGGGTGTCCGACCGACTGCTGTCCTGGACTCCCGGAGCGACGGTGTTTCTTCTTCGGCCTCGTCCACCGTTTCATCTCCGGTTTCCAGCAGTCAGTCTAATAAGGTGGAGCAGGGATCCAGTAAATCCTCCTCGCCCAGTAAAGACAGCCAGAAGCAGATTTTGTGGCCCGCTTGGGTTTATTGCACGAGATACTCTGATCGGCCTTCATCTGGTAAGGCAGCTGCTAACAAACACTCCGAATATTGTAACCTACTTGTTTATTTCTGCGCAGGACACGCGTTCATTTGATCGTTAAAGGGAGGATAGTTCATTTTCTGCTAGCTGATTATGTTTGTTTACACTGTAAAAAAAATCTGTTAATGAACAGTTTGTGATTCAGAAGAGTTTTCATTTTATTTACGGATGCGAGTTGCATTATGGGATTGTTGATCTCTGCTCTGTAGAATTCTGATGTTGAAAATGCAACCCTACAGTTTAACATTGACAGCTTTTATTGACATTATAGTAGTCTGAAATAATATAATATAAGAATGATATCTAGAGAAATAAGTCTGTAAAATAACAGTAAATGTGCTGCAGTTTATTACCAGGTTTATGTAGTATAATAAACAACACCAACACAGACAATATAGCACTGCACACTTTTACACATGTGCAGAGAAGTCACATTTGAGGGCTTTACTAGATTTAAAGTTGTTGGAAGAAAGATTAAGGTTCCATAATGCAATTCAAAAGCATAAATAAACTGTGGAAATAACAACAAGAATCAAAGAATACGGAAAAATAATTTTTTTTGGATGTTTTTTATAGTGTGGCAACAAATAACATCACTTCTGCTTTTGCACATATTTGTTGTCTGTTTTAAATCGATCAGTTAATTTTAAGTTTTGTTTAAATTAGTTTAAATTCAGTTTAGATTAAATTTCAGTCTTTCGATGCAATTTTACATTAATCTGGAGAAACTATTTCAGTGTTTGTTGAGGGGAATATCTCATTTAGGAAATAATTTAGCAATTTGCTGAAACAAAACAAAAAACACACAATTATAGTGTTTGTTTTACATTTCTTTAGACTTCGGTACATTTCTATCGATGGAAATTTACATTAATTTTGAAAAATGATCTCAGCCATGAACCGAGGAGAACACAAGCACCCAAACATTATTATAACGCATTACTTCTCTTACTAAAATCTTACCGATTTCCCCCCCTAAAAATACAATTGAAATAAAACAATAATAGTGTGTTTCTTTTCGTATATTTAATTTTCTAATACATGCATGATTTAGACCTAATGTGCAGGGAATATATTTTTAACGTTATTTTATATTACGCATTTTTTATGTAGCCTATGCATTTCTCTGGTGATTTTGATTAAAACATTTTCAATTGACTACAGCTTTGGAAACCTTAATAATAACGAGAACAATAATAATAATAATAATAATAATAATAATGATAATGATAATGATAATAATAATAATAATAATAATGATAATAATAATAGTAGTAGTAGTAGTAGTAGGCTAACAATAATAATAGTAATCCAGAAAACAGTAGCCTAATACACGTTAATTAAAGGCTAGTTCATATTGAACGACATGTAAACTTTGATTAAAATTTACAAAACTAAATTAAAGAATTGCTAAATAAATTTAGGAACATAATAATGTTTTACATACGTCTGACTTGTGTTCAATTCTTGCTTAAAGTTTTGCATTTGATAAAACCGCATTTCTAGCTGAGTTTGATCGACTGTTTATTGATTTTTTTTTAAATAGGCCAACAGATTTTTTTTGTTTCCTTAATTAGGCCTATAAGTTTCAATGATAATGGAAATTTATTTTCATGGCTGAAAAGGCGAAATAAGCCTACAGTTAATAAAGGTTCTAATCAGACAATCCAATAAAAGAACCGTTATAAAAACCACCTCCCTAAAAAACGTATGATCAGTCCTTAAATCTAAAATATATTATTTTAATAATCTAAACAAATTTTTAACGATTTAGCCTATATAAAAAAATAATTTTAATAAAGATTTTTGCCTTTTGCCGCAAGTTCAAGAGCGACCGTCAAAGCGGATATAATAATTTATTATTAGCACCATTTTATGTGCTTCTTAAAAACTATTCAGTTATAAACAAAATTATTTAAACAACAAGTAGCTTAACAGTTATGCCTCTTTTTTTAATTAGCAATACTATAGCAACATAACAACTAATAGTTGAATGAATATCAATGCTACTAATGTATTCTAAAGCAACCATTAGTATTGAATATATTGCTGAAATCAATCGTTAATTTGTTAACTGATTGATGTTCAAAGAATTTGTTTATTTATCATAACACTGACGAGAAAGATCAATACACTAGCACCCCTTTGTATATTCTAAAATGGTTTGGACACTTCATGAAATGGTTTGATATTCATGGATTCGTTTCATTGTTGTCTCCACACAAGGCCCAAGGACCCGGAAATTGAAAAAGAAGAATAACAATACCGAAAGCGACGATAAGCGACCCAGAACGGCGTTCACAGCCGAGCAGCTCCAGAGACTGAAGGCAGAGTTTCAGACTAGCCGCTACATCACGGAGCAGAGGCGGCAGGCTTTAGCGCGGGAACTCGGCCTCAACGAGTCGCAGATCAAAATATGGTTCCAGAATAAGCGCGCCAAAATCAAGAAGTCCAGCGGCTTCAAAAACGCGCTCGCAATGCAGCTAATGGCGCAGGGATTGTACAACCATTCCACCACCACCATCCAAGAAGAGGAGGACAACTAGCAGAGACAAATCCTGGAGTGAAATTAATCACAAGACTTTAAAACAGATATTATAGCCTATGTTTACTGAGCGGGAGATGTATTGTAGTGTAAACAAAATCTGTACATTAGCAGCTTTCTGCATTTTGTGATTCATTTTGTATTCTTCCCTTGTATTAATGCTTTTGAATTGCATTATGGCAGCTTGATCTTTCTTCCAACAACTTTTAATCTTGAAAAGCTCGCAAAGTGACTTTTATTAACAGTTTTAATATTTTATATTGTCTAAGTTGGTGTTGTAGCCTATATTACGATACAAAAACGTTGTAATAAACTGCAGCACATATTCTGTTATTTTACAGACTTGTTTCTCTTTATATTATTCCTTACACATTCTATTATTTCAAACTAGTAAAATGTAAATAAGGTGACTTTTAAAGTCGACAGAGAGAGCAGATATCAACATCACCTAATGCAATTCACCAGCGCAAATAAACGGAAAACTCTTGTAAATCACAAAATGAGCTGTTAATTAAAATATTATTTTAAAGTGTATACAAAACTGAAATTAAACTGACAGCCTCTTTATTTTAAAGATGCGAATAAAGTTTAATATGGTTTGTTATTCAGTTATAATTTACTTCAACTATGATGTTTTATATAAGCTGTTAACTGCAGTATATGCCAAAGACGCTATTCGATTGAATTTATAAAATTAGCAGCTATAATGTTTTAAACTGTATATCCATAATATTTTCCCTTTGCTGGTGGTATACTTGGGATAATGGGAAATAAAGATGTGATTTCAGATAGTATTCTTCATAATATATTTAATACTCTATTCAAATAAACTCATTTTGTACATGAAATACGAGGCGTGTTGTCTTATTATGTTGTCTTCTGTATAGGTAGATTATTATTTATTTTATCCTGGGGCAGGAATAAGTGAACCAACCAAAATGTTAAAAAATAATACGATAATAATAAATGTTTCCCCAATATATTCACTCATGTTTCGTAGAATAAAGCCACTTTAACATAATTTTTTGCTTTTTACGCGACAAACTGCGGCCTTATTTTGTCTTTGTAATGAAGATAAAACAAAATATAACATCTCCGTGTGATAATTTCCCATTTAAAACTTTAATGCGACTCATAATACCTGTAAAAATGCTTGGTTCGAAACAAGCGATTTGTTTTTAATTATCTTATTTACACATTTAATTATAATTAATATAAAACAGTTAAGTTGTCCCCCGAAAACTCAATATGTGTGTTGTTTTGGCTCATTGTAAATAAGCGGTTTAAACAAACATCAAACGTCACTTTTAAATGTAGATTAATTCGCATAAACGACTTTCAGATCAATCAATAATCAGAATGATTTAAACTGCATGTACACCGTGTTGTTGTAGAAATGCTAAAGCATGGAAAATACCTTATTATCTGCAAGACTTTTTTAATTTTAATAGCAATAATAATTAACAATACTGTGTTATTTGTTTGGGAGAATGCGGCTTTTTTAAAACCACATCATATTTAGCATTCCACTGAGAGTTTGAGAACAGTAGTCTAGTGAATGTCGGCTGTTGTGAGCATGCCATAGCTTTTTGTAAGCGATTAATCAAACCAAAGAAGACAGATAATCGTGGACACATTATCCCGATGGCAGGCACTGTTTGTTTTCTGAAGCTCTCTGCCCCGGGCAACATTTAACAGATCTGCATTGGACATCCAGCATGATTGTGTGGCTGCATATATCCGTGGTTTTCTCACACCTTCACTATCATCTCGGTATGGCGTGTGTGTGTGTGTGTGTGTGTGTGTGTGTGTGTGTGTGTGTGTGTGTGTGTGTGTGTGTGTGTGTGTGTGTGTGTGTGTGTGTGTGTGTGTGTGTGTGTGTGTGTGCGCGCGCGCGCTTGTGAATGTGTCCGGGCAGGCTCGGCTGACTGACTGCTGGAATTAGCGACTGTCAAGTTCAAAAGCGAGTTACACTTGATTGAGATCTTGGCCTGTTTTTGTCAACTTCTTAAAACCACATAAATAGAGCCTTCAAATTGTGATTGAAAAAGTATAATAGCGGGTTCCCGTAGCTATCAGCGGAAATTTCCACACGGTAAAAACACATCTGTTAATGCACAAGTGGTTATTTGCCGTGGTGAATTGCATTAGGGGATGTTGATCTCTGCTCTGTCCACTTTTTATGTTGGAATAACAACTCTACAGTTTAACAAAGTGACTTTTATTGACGTTTTAGTAGTTAAAAATAACATATACGAAATAAAGTATAAAAATAAGTGTGTAAATTAACAAAATGTATTGCCAGTTTATTACAATGTCTCTGTAGTGTAATATACAACACTAACCTATTTGAATAGCACTGCTAACTATTAAAAATACTAATTAAAGTCACTTTTTTCAAACTTTTCAAGGGTAAAACTTCAAGGTGTCAACTTAAAAGCAGAAATAATCCGGTGAAGAATAAAAACACAATACGGAAAACTGCTAATTTACGGATATTTTAGTGCCTGGCATGTTTACTCTCTCATTCATTATCCTGATTTTTCAGAGGATGCCACAGCGGAACGAACCGCCGATAACTTTGGCATGTGTTTTATGCGGCGGGTGCCATTCCAGTGCATGCCTGAAATAGCCTCATTTATTTGAGGAAACCACCAAACTTTTCGGTTTGGCTATCCAAAACCTGCATCTCAGATATACTGACGGATACGGATATACTGATAAATAAAATCAGTGTCAAATAAGGAGTTATTGAGGGGAAAGAAGTTTGTATTCAAACACAAAAACCGTATTTTAAAATCACACCAGGTTGTTTCAACCAAGTTTTGGGCCAAATATGAAGAAACCTGAGGTTGGATAGTTCTTTTCCCAATTGCATTACAATTGCACTTTTAAACCGGCTCGTTTGTTCATATTTAAGCGAGCTTTGAGTTCCAACACGCCAACATTTTTAGAGTGTAAATGGACGAAAGTATAGCACATAGAAATTTCTATTAGTAAAACAGAATGAACACGTGGAAACAATTGAAGTTACTGGGGGAAAAGGCTTTCACAATATCTGAATCAAACGACCAATAAAAGTTTGTATATATTTTTTTAAAAATAAACAGTTTCTGGAAAAATATGTATGAACTTGTTATAAGTATATATAT